CCCTTTAAGCGCAGCCCTCGGCTAGCCTGAGACAGCATCTCCACGCTCTAAGTCCTCCTCTGATGCCCTGCCGGCACTGCTTCCGGCCATCCTTAAGCCCTGTTCAGGGTCCACTCAATGTGGACATGCTAGTTCGAATTAGCAAAACGCTAATTCGAACTAGTTTTTAGTTCTAGACGCGTTAGTTCGAATTAGCTTAGTTCGAATTAACTAATTCGAACTAAGTTAGTTCGAACTAACTCTGTAGTGTAGACATACCCCTAGGGCTGTGTAAATTCACCATAGTCTGCTGAGTTTTTAAATCAGTGTTTGTCTTGTGTCACTTGTAAAAATGCTGTTTTGATCTAATCAGATTTGTAAAAGATTATCCCACTTTAAATATCACATAAAACCTTTTTACTGGACTAATTTCCCAACTGGACTATAAAAGGAGTTGTCAGAGGGTATGTCTACACAGCAAAGTTATTTTGAAATAACCGCCATTATTTCGAAATAACTGTACCAGCGTCTACACAGCCAAACCACTATTTTGAAATTAAATTGAAATAATGGAGGGCTTATTTCAAAATTGGTAAACCTCATTCCACAAGGAATAGCACCAATTTTGAAATTGCTATTTCGAAATAAGCACTATGTAGATGCTTATTTCGAAATAGGGGGCCTCCAGCCCTTCCCAGGGTGCCCTGGTGGCCACTCTGGGCACAACCAAGAAAACTCCTCTCCCCCTCTCCATCCCCGGAGCCCTTAAAGGGGTAGACTCTGGCCACAGTGCCTGTGCCAGCTCCAAGCCTGCCAGCCCAGAGCCAGAAGTCGCTGCACCTGCCCCAGTGGCCCAAGCATGAACCAGGCAGCCAATGCCAACCAGCCCTCCACCGCTCCCCCATACCAGTCTGACAACTCCCAGGAGCCTGCCAGGGGCTGGAAAAGGTTGGAGCCTGCCTGGTCCAGTGCGGAGATCAGGGACCTAATTCAGGTTTGGGGGAATGCCTCCAACGTACATAATCTCTACACTAAATGGGGGGACCCAACCATCTACAGGCAGATGGCTGCCAGCCTGGCCACCAAAGGCCACATGTAAGCCCAGGAGCAGGTTCGCATGAAAATCAAGGAGCTGCAGCAGGCGTGTGCCAGGACCACAGGAGGCAGCTCCCAACCAGGGGCAGACCCAGACCCCTACCCCTATTTTGATGCTGTGGACTTCATTCTGGAGGGCAGGATGGTCCGTACCCCCCAGGTGGTCATCGACCCTGGGGCAGAGCTTGCTGCCTCCTGCTGCTCCAACCCCTGCTGCCTCCCCAGCTACCGCTCCTTCTT